TGCATCTCATCTATGAGATCTTTGGCTAAAGCAGCGTACCGCGTCAGAGAGCCATTTTTACCCAGTAATTACAGTTTACAGTCTGTCACTACCTACACTGCAGACTCAGAGGTGTATTAGCATCCGTGTCATTGTTGAGAAGTGATGATTACAGAAGGGCGTCACCCTGAGTTAGCCTTTACTGCTCTGCAGGTGTTTCTTTTATAATTAGCTGTAGCAAACACGTCTGTAGACAAGAAAAATCAGAGTTATATATAGTTTGGCTTTCAATAGTTTACAAACCCCTCTTTACAAGGCAGGTTTTTGTGCTGTGAAGACAGACTTTTGACAGTTCTAGCATTAATGTTTTGGACTAATAAAGTATTTCTTCTGAACAATTGAACTATAAAACAACCTGTTTGAATGTTGGAGTGATAACTGTGGTTCTAGTTGAACATAACATCTTTGTTGATTGGAAACTACATCTAATATAAATTTCTTGGTTTAACATTCATTTTTGGTCTCACTTTGATGCTAGTACTGAAGATTTGGGGAAAAGAAAACTAGAAATCTTAGTAACTTTATGGCCTTGTAGTGCTGTTGATGCCTCCATTGCGTTTCACTGTATGTATGGTTCTCTTTGCAGGGCTGTGTTTGTGCCTAAAATACCTTATGGAACTGAGGGGGTTTATGTTGGGCCTTGAATCTTGTTGTATTTAGCCTCACAGTTCGTTTTCTTAGGTCTTTGACCTTTCCTTATAAAATCTTTAAGCTTTTGGTACGAAGATAATATCATCTGATCAGCCTTTTATCTCACTTTAATAATATAACATTAGGTAGTTTAATTATTCAAAAATAAACCTGACTACTACTGTGTGCAAAATGGGTTTTGGTGAGACCAGGATTGATGATTAAGAACCAGTCGGATGCTTTCATTTGAAAACAGTTGAGTTCATATGAATTATGAATCTATAAGAAAATCTGAAAGGAAAATGGTGTAACATGTGGATGGTTATGCCAATGTGGTATTAAATCAGAAGTAAGAGGTCTAGACTTAGTCTTAGACAGATTTATTTTGTCATTTTGTATACACAAATGTAAAGAAAAAGAAATTTCGTTAGAACAGCTCTAGACAATTTCATATTTTAAAGTGCAGCCTTGAAAACAGTAATAAATACATAAAAAGGTCTATGAAGCCATTTTAATGGAGATGCTCAATGAATCAATTAAAAGTCATCATTTTAATATCAATGTGTGCAATATTTCAATTGCAAATGGTTTTTTGGAAGAAAACTTTAGAATATTATCCTTGAAGCGCTATGCATTCATACTCTGCACGCATTAATAGCATATTTAATCAATGCTATGGACTTAAAGTGCCTTTGATTGTCAGTGACTGATGTTCTACAGCTGACAGAGGCGGAGGGGCATCGTAAAGAAGGAAAGTATGGATTGATGAGATCTGATGCTTTCATAACATTGAATAACAATATGGCAGTAAGATTCTAATACAATGATGCCACTCTAATATTCTAAATATAGACTTTATAACTGAGACTCTGTATGCCTCAGGGAAATGTTGAAATTGATGTGAGGACTATTCAGATCAAGGGCGCTTTTCCTGGAAGGGCTGCTCCAGGAAGAACAATTCAGTTTTGAAAGCAGCAACATAAAATATTAGTGAAGTCATTGCAGAATAAACCATAAAATTTCTTGAAGAATGTGCCTCTGACATGTGGCTTTAACAAACAGCACAAGGTTTGATGAAAGCATGGCGAGCTATGCCGCTTCACAGCAGTGAAAGCCTGAGGAATTGGATTTGTTTTGCAGCCAAGGAGTTTCTGCAATGACTGAATCAACCATGAAGTCAGATGTGAAGCAACAGCTGAAGTTTCACTAAAACATTCAACAGGATGATTCCCTCGAGCAGAGCAGCAGATATGACAGAATACACATTCAAACCCACTCAGCAGATTTCTCATTGAACGGACACAGGCGGTTCTGTGTTGCCGTTCGTCTGAACAGTGTGAATCTTTGTGAACAAAGTGAAAGGTGAATTGAGCTTTACATAAAGATGTCTACATGAGGTTGGAAGCTGGCTGCGGTTAATAAAACGGGCTAACCAAGCTTGACTTTTAACTTTGCAAACATAGCAGTTTGAGAGGGCCTGCGGCCTCACAGAGAAAAACTTTCAACATATTTTCAGGGCTAAATAAACACAAGAGCTGTCTTACAAATGTTTACACACCTTCATAAACTACAAAAAACAGACAGAAGGAAATAAAAATCTCCAGAAAAGATAAATAGGGAACGGATGTAGTTGAATAAATCATGACATGACAAAGTGTTTTGTTCTAAGAGTAAAAAAAATAAATAAAAAATAGTATCTTTTTTGTTCGTTGCAGTTGAATATTTTTGTCATTTGGTTTAAACTGTTGATTGAATGTCTGCCCTTGATGTAGGAGGACATCTACTGCTAATAAAAAAAAAAACAGCGTAGTCTTTGTTTTTGTCGCCAACGTTGGAGACAAACGCCCTTTAAAAAAAAAAAACACATGACACTCTGTAATAGGAGACAGCAACTTCAAAGCATCCCTTTTGAAATGCATACCTTGCATTTGCACAAAGTTAAGAACTTATAGTGTCTCACCTATTCTTTTGTCATTAGTTAGGTTTTGCCATAACGTCCAAAACAGAAGGTAACATTCCATTAAAGATAAAGGGTTCATTGCATTTATAAAAAAGTTTGATGATTATCTTTATAAACATAAAAACAAAAAAGATGAATAAAATAAAATAGATTTTCTTTACTTTAAACTAGCTTATTGTTGAAATAAGCTAATTTGTTCCATGTCGGTTTTGTGGCTCTAAACGAATTTTCTTCAGTGGGATTAAAGGCAAGAATCTCAGGGTTGTAAAGGTCGCTGACCCCTGCTCTAAAAGCACAAAGGAGTTTATTCATCCTGGATTATGAATACAGTTCAATAGCATAGATTTGTCTTTCAATTGTGGTTACTCATATCCTAAAAAAGAGCTTTTGTTTTCAACCTTTATCAGAGAGAGTGTTTATCCATCAGAGTGGATGGCTCACTGGTAGAATAAAATAAAAAAGAAAATCCCTTTTATTGTCCCACAATGGGGAAATTCTGGTGTTTACAGCAGCAAAAACATTGTAGAAAAAAAAAAAAAAAGGTCACATAAATGTGGACCTCTACTTTTACAAGAAATCGAACCTTACGCTGATCCACGCTTAGACACTGTGGATCAGTGTAAATGATCTCTTATGATTACGGCTGACTGTGGGGAAGCGAGACTTTCCCTCATCAGTCCATCAGCTCATGTGATGTTTGCTTTTCTCCTGGCCTCTAAAGCTGTTATATTGACAGTCCACGTTCACACCAAGCTCTGCTCTTATTCTTTGATAAATCTAAGCATAAATAGGTGAAAGTTAAATCAGCTCCACTTTGAGTTATTATTTATGTCAAAATGGATTTTTAAGGGTTTTTATTTTGGGTTGGTCATAAATCATTTAAAAGCCCAAGTGTGTCATCTTACTCATGCATAGTAAACCAGTTTCTTACAATCTAAAACTGACCCACTTGTGTTTCCTTCTGCATTTCAGCAGGCAGTTATGCTTTGATTGATCAATGTTGTTAAATGACACTGATCCAGGGGTGTCTGCTGAGCAGGAGTGGCTCTTTAAAAGTCTTTTAAAAATAGGGATATTAATTACACACTTCTCACTGGAAGATCTTCTCATAAAAAACACCTTCACTCTATTGTTTTTGTTTAAGTTGTTGCAGAAGTATAAAAGGTGCAAGTGATTTTCTGTAAGCAAAAGATTGTCAGGTTGTCTTAATACATTGTTAGTTTTTTGCAGGATGTGTGGTTTTAATCCCAACCATCCGCTTCCTGTTTTCTGTTGCCACCTGCATGCAACATGCAGGTCTTGTTTCCATAACTTTATATTTGGTCTGTTTTGGTTGTATTTTTATACTCATCATTATCATGTGAAATAAATATATTCACCTCTTATAAACGTACCTGCCTTTACAGGTTTTGCATATTCTGGCTTTTATTAGCAGCCCCTCTTGCATGAATTCCAGCAGGATGTACTAAACGCTTTGGTACCAAAGACTCTTCCTCAGATTCTTCTCCAAGTCTCTTGTTTCTTCCTGCTCTCTGTTTTGTCTTCAGTCCAGTCAGGCGAGGTATTGATATTTCCATGGCTCCTTGCCTATTTCTGCAGGGGTTTATCTGCTCGTTTGGGACTTGTTTTTTTTTTTTTTTACTGTCCTTGCTTTTTGTGCAGCATGAAGTTGGCTTATGTAATTTGTTATGCAAATAATTTGTGAAGTTATCACAGAGGGTCAACTAAACATGGTTTGACACTGAATTTACTTCAGTTTTTCCTCAGAAAAACAAGTATGTTGACATCAATTTCCAGTTTTATATATCAGTGATCATCCAGGGAATACTGTTTTTTTAGGTTTTCTCCTGTGCCACCATCTCAAGTCGCTTGCAGCCCTTAAACATTTTTCCCTGTGTTTTTCTCCATTACCTTTCCTGTCCCCGTACCATAATGCTGCCACTACCCTGTTTGACTATGGTGGTGATATGATCAAAGCTTCTGTATTGTTGATTTGGTCTCACAGACCAAATCAACTTAGAAAGTTCAGATTGAGTTTCATCTCATCAGAGATCCTTAAGCTCACATGTTTGCTATATTCTTCATCGGTCTTATGGGAAACTCAACAAAATTTCCTTTGGTGTTCTTTCAAAGGCCACTTTGGGTTTCTCTGCCATATCCAAGTTTACAGTTATCCACTATTTCTTGCAGCACAATCATAGTAAAATAATTTGAAGTTCGTGTTTTGCGACTTGAAGAAGTTTTGTCTGCATCTCTTTGTGTTTTCTGCTTTGGATTTTCCTGTAATTTTCATTTCGTTTGAAGCTCCTTTTTGATTTTTCAAGATCTCTGCAGTCATTATGTACTCTCATTCCACTGCATTCACTCATAGGTCCCTGAGGTAATCAGCAGCATTCGCCAGGTTTCCAAATCTGCTCTAAAGGAAGAAACCAAGCCCAAACAGGAAGCTGAAGAGGCCTTTTACAACTCTCAGAAGTTTGAAGTGCTTTACTGTGGCAAGGTAGTTCCCTAAAAATAAATAGCTCTATGTTTGTTAATTTCATGCTCTTTACAAAGTGACTGTTATGTTCATTTTATCTCTAGGTTACAGTGGTCCACAAGAAAGCATCCTCAACCCTCATCGATGAATGTGTTGAAAAATTTCGCCAGCACGAGACTGAACGGAAGCGCCTGCGGCTTCTTAACGGACAGCGAGGGTCGACAGAGACTTTCCCTGTGGATTTAATCATTCTAGAAGACCCACTCTCTACTGCCATCAGTAGGACTGCAGAGGAACCTGAAGCTCTGGGACTGGAGGACATGACGATAGGTAAAAAAACACCCCAGGCAAACCTAGAGTCTGCTTTTCCACTTGTTTTATAAGGGAGTACACATTTAAGCAGTACACTTAAAAAATATATATTTTCCACTTTTAAAACGCATCAAATCCCCCAAAAAATCTTGGCTTTATGTGAGCACAAATTTAATAATTTTACCAGACGGTACTTTAACATCAATTATCTTACAGTACATAATATTGGTAGGTTGGTACATAAGCACTGCAAACACAATCTAGAAATAAGTAAAAATGTCTTAAATTAAGTGTAATTACCCTTAATTTGAGTTGGTAAATAAAAGTTTTGCCAATGGAAATAGGATTTTTACTCTTAAAACAAGATAAGTAGATAATATGCACTTGAAACAATGCAATTATTTTTCTTATATTATATGTAAATTGTCTTGTTCTATTGGCAAGGTTTCTCAGTTACTTAACTTAATTCAAGAAAAAATGCACTTATTTAAGAAAAATGTATATTTCAAATGTTTTTTTTTTACATTTTTTGACTGATAATCTAAATGCATAAATATTTTATCATTTTCATGAGTGAAATAATTTCCTTTTAAGTCGACATTTGCGAATGAATCTGCATGGGAAGAGACAGGTGGACCTATGTTTCTACTCTCACCTACCATTGTGAGATTGGGGCTCTCTTGATGGTCGGGCTCTTGGAGTAGAGCCACTGCTCCTCCACTTCAAGAGGGTTCAGATGAGGTGGTTTGAGAATTTGTTTCCAGTGTGCCCTGCACACCTCCCTCCGGAAGAGGCCCAGGACGCCCTGGAGGAACCATTGGCTCTTGTCCACCACTATCAGCTGTGAAATATTTCCATTACTGCCTTTTAAGTATCATACCTACTGCTGAGAAGGGCTAAAACAAGGCGGCATCGGTTCTGCAGAAGTAGTAACTGAAAGGTTTTAAAGTTGGTGGGATAGAATAGAGCCAGGCCGAGTGGAGTAAGTGGAGGAGCCCATGGAGGGAGGCTTCGTGCTCCCCTAACTGAAGATAGAGAAGGAGCACATTCAAAAAATAAGGTTTGGGTTTAAATCCCAGCTAGAGGTCCATCTCTGTGGACACTACTGATAATAATGGGTTTTCTCCAGATTCTGTTGGTTCATATATGTGAAAAGGCAAACCAATGAATTTTTGACGTCCTGGTATATTGAGACACACTGCTAGAGTACCATAGTCAGGAGCTGGTAAAAACACAACAAAAGGTCACTCTTAAAAAATCTTATTGAGGCCAGAAAAGAGAGTCTAACAAAATATTCCAGTTGAAAATTTCTCAGAGTTACCGTTGCACTTAAAAAAAACTTCCATCTGTCAGTGGTTAGCTCTGGTATATTCTCCTTAAGAATCTATCCCTAAGCAGGGATTGATGCCACAACAAAAAGGAAACATGTTTAAACTGGATGATACAGAGAAACCTGTCTGATTACTTTGGAATCAAGACATTATTTACATACAGCAGAAATTTTTATCCGTAATGGCTGAAGGCAAAAAAATAATCCTTAATCTAAGTAATAAGACACCTGAAGTTTTTCCTTTCCTGGTCCAGGTAAATGTGCGTCCAGCAGTGCCAGTCAGAGCAGTCTGCGGGGAGCCTTTCCTGAGTGCATCCTGGAGGACTCTGGGTTTGAGGAGCCTCAAGAGTTCCGCACTCGCTGCAGCAGCCTGGCCGGGAGTCTGCAGAGGAAGCCGGGGGAAGGCGTCATCATGGGTCCCACGCGCCGCAGACACGCAAGTGCGCCCAACAACGTGCAGCCATCTGATTCTGATAAAAACCGAACTATGCTGTTCCAGGTAAAGGAAACCATGAAAGACATGTCCCTTTGAATATTTAAATCTATTCACTAAATATCTGTGTAAGAATCAATTTCTGCAAAAAAGAGGAAAGATGTATGTTACTGGTAGCACCTGCTCGATCTGGAGTAATCTAGTTCTTTACTGTTTCACTGCTTCATACCCCCCTGCATTCAGGCAGTGAACTCTCACAGTACTGCAAATCATTTTAACATGCACACGCCTGGCAGGTGTGATGCACAGACTTGCTTTGTGTACTCTGTAACATGTCTCCTGGTGGAGTTGGATGCTTTAACTGCTGTCATAAAGTTTTTTCTCCTGTGTAAACTCCAGACCTCTCTATTAAAAACATGTGGGCTGCAGCACGTACCAGCTGCCATTCCTCAAACACCGTGCCCATTTCCTCATGAGGCTAATTTTAAAAACTATAGCACAACGTTCAATATGATACTCCACACGGCAGTCAATAATTGGAAAAATCTTTTGCAGGCTGGTTGTCGGCCTTGATTTAGAGTCAGAGCGGACGAGGAACAAGCTAGTATCACATAATACTGGGCTTATAAGAGATTTTTGCATGACCTTATAAATATAAATAATAAAATAGGTTGACGTTAATGATCAATACCGCTAGCTTTAATATGTCACATTGTTCCAGAGCTCTGCTCAAGCTGTCTTCCGTAAATAGAGAGAAAGCAACATAAGTGATGGATTGACAAGACATGGCCACCCAACTGAAGAGATAATTCATTGAAGAAGAAGCATAGAGGCACATTGGGATTCTTAAGGAGTTTCAGAGAGCCACAGCTCAGGTGGAGGAATGGGGACGCATTTCTTTAACATGATATCATGAAATAAAACCTTGTTCTAAAATGCTAAAGGTAGAGGTTTGCCCTCCAGTAGGATCCACAGCTGTAGACATGCGGTCAGAGCAGCAATGCTTCCCACCACAGTGCATTCATGTGACAGGATTAACCTTTCGAAGTCCAGGCTTAGATCAAAGCCGATGGTGAGAGAAGCTCTCCATCCCATCTGACTAAGCATAACTGATTTGCAATAGAACGAGCAAGAGCTGTAACTGTTGGGGACTTAAACCAAGGAAATAGCAGCAAAAGCTGGATCCATAAAGTAGGAAGGAATTAAAGACAACAGATAAAAATTATTTTATTTTTACATTTCAGTTTACATTAAAGCAAAGGTTTTTGTTGCTCTAGTAGTTGCTCTAGTAATTTAAACCACTGCTCTAGTAATTTAAACCATCCAACCAAGGGGATGCAAGTACCTGTAATAAACTAGACAGTTAATTCCTGCTGCATCCAGCGCCGCCGTGCTCGGCTACGTTGCAAAGCCCAGAGAAACGTGGAAGTAGGATAAAAAAACCCTCCTGCTTTAAAAGGGTTAAAACTGCTTTACTTTTCCATTTTCACAATCTGGATGCTTTCTGTTGTTATATTCTTAAATAAATAAATTGAACATCATTGATCTCACAATAGAGAACTTCACTTCTGAATCTTAACCCATCCCCTTGGGGAGCAGTGGGCTGCCACTGTTCGGCACCTGGGGAGCAATCAGGGGTTAAGGGTCTTGCTCAGGGACACAGATTGCAGGCTTTGGGGATTGAACCGGCTAATTGCAACCTTCTCAGAGAACAAGCTCATTGCTGTAACCACTTGGCCACCACTCCCCAATGCAGGAGTACACTGAGTGTTTGTATATATATATATATATATATATATATATATATATATATATATATATATATATATATATATAATTTTTTTTTTCTCGTATAGACCTATATGGTGAAGTCTTTCAGTAAATCTAACCTCCTAAAGTGAATTTTCTAAAAATCTGGATATGTTTTCTGTATTTCTGCTGCGCTCTGAAATCTGGAAAAAACAGAATTGGGGCAAATTTGCCGGTTAACTGCCATTGAACTGCTGCCTGGGCCACCATGCGCAGGAGATGTTAATGTGTTCATCGATTATAACGGCTGCTTATTTGCTGCAGAGTTTGTAGCTAAGCAGAACCTAGTTGAAAGTAGCATAATTTGGGTTGTAAGAGATTTAAAAGGATCTGTATGTATATGATGTCGGGCTGAAACAATTAATTAGATTAATCATGATTAATCGATTATTGAAATAATTGTCAACTGATTTAGTAATTGATTTATTGTAACTGGAGTATAGAGACTTTAAAACATGACTTTAGCTGACAGAGAATTCAACTTAGAGCAGTAATTATATTAAATTTGAAAAAATATATATATGAACATTTTGCATTTAAGATGATAAAGATTTTTCATTTGTCAATATGCTCTATCTAGAACTCCTCAAGTGAAAAAGCTTTAGTTTCACTTAAGGAACCTTTGCCTATCCGATTAATAATCGATTAAAATAAAAATAAAAATGACAGATTTGCAAAATAATTGTTATTTGGAGCCCTAATATGATAGTTTTGTGTGTGACAGGTTGGACGGTTTGAAGTGAACCTGATCAGTCCGGATAGTAAAACAGTGGTGCTGGAGAAGAACTTCAAAGATATCTCATCCTGCTGTCAGGTTGGTTCTTTCTTATTTTCTCTGTTTACCCAGTAAAGCTTTTAGTTTTTTGCTTCAGCTCCTGGTTTAGCCCAGAGTAACTTTGTGCAGCACAGTGGAAATGTGCTCTTTTATTCATACATAATGCTTTTGGATGCATTGAAAAAGACTGTTATTATGAAAGCTAATGGACTACCTTGTGGTTTTGGTAATTTCCTGATAAAATGGGACACGGCTTGGATTTGCTGCAGCTGAGTGAGCATGGTTGCATTGAGCATCTTCCTGTTCTGTCTTTGTCGTCACAGGGTGTAAAGCAGACCGACCATTTCGGATTCATCTGCCGGGACCAATCAGAGTCCGGTCCGGGTCAGTACATGTGCTACGTCTTCCAGTGTGCCAGCGAGTCCTTGGTGAGTTACACGAATGCTGTAAGTGAAAATAATGGCAAAGAGCAAGAGGGGAAGAGGTTGTTTCTTTTTCTTTATCAGGTTGATGAGGTGATGCTGACCCTGAAGCAGGCCTTCTCCATCGCTGCAGCCTTACAAAGCAATAAGACTCCAGTGCAGCTCTGTGAAGCATGCCCCATGCACGACCTGCACAAGCTCTGCGAGAGGATTGAGGGTAAGCCTCATGATTGGAGCAGCACATGCAACAACTCTTCGATATACTGATGCATGGTCAGTTTCTAAGAGTTTGTTGTTGTTTTTTTGCAGGTCTTTACCCACCCAGAGCCAAGCTGGCCATCCAGAAATACCTCTCCCAGTTAACTGATAATGAGCAGGCAGAGATTTTTGAGCGGGTTCAGGTAAGCACGCTTTCTCCTCTTACTCCAAGTAACACATTAACAGTTTAAGTTGAATGTTTGCTAAGAGATGTTCAGGATTTCAAAGTTGTTTTTCTGGCCTTGAAGCAGACTTTCCCCCAGTTGTTTTCCTTTAAAATATTTGAGAGTTTGTTTCTCCAGAGACTGAAGCCTGCCTCTGACCAAGAGGAGAATGAGTTGGCGATTATGTATCTAAGGCAACTCTGCGAAAGCAAACAGAAATCCCATCTTCATATCGGAGAAGCCCCTCAGGTATATGTTTCACTCTGAAGAGGATCTGAAAACTGTTATGCTGATGTTGTTAAAGCTTGTGAATCTGTGATCTAAATACTTCATCTTTGTTTAACTTTGCTAAAGATTGGAAATTGGATTAATGGTTTCCAATGAACATTAAAGGTATAGGGGAGCATCTTCTTTTTCCAGGTGGATAATCTAAATAAGTGGGCCTCCTAATTGTTCATTCTGGTGTTTTTTTTGTTTTGTTTTCTGTAAGGTCGTCCTACGTGCTCGTCCCCTCTTAGCTATCCTTTTCTGCACATGCGCACTTTCAGGCATATATCTGTGGTGAGCTACGGTTTCAGTCAGTCATTGAAGCTCACCTTTTTCACCGCGGTTCTTTGAAAATGACCGAGGGTCGTAAGAGAAAAAGTGTCTATGATGTGTATGAGAAGAAAAGAAAGGGCTCAGAAGAGAAAAACAGGACCAGAGTTTTTTTGGGAAGTAAGCTTGTATGAGCTATGAGAACAGCAACTTTTAAGCAGAACGTGCACAAGGAAAAATAGGCTCCTTCTCCTTTAAAAGGCGTCCCCTCTCGGGAGCAGGTACATGGTTGTGCATGTGCAATTTTTTTTTTAATCCTCCATTACACCTTTAACTCTTATATACAAAAATCTCCCCTTTTTCGAAATTTAAACACATAGAAGAAATAATAAATATGTCATCAAGAATATCTTCACCTTAATTAGGTAGCTTGGTCACTTAGATTTAATCTAACAATTTACTTTAAGAATATTTATTTTCTTTAATATTGCTTTAGCAATTTTAAGGAATTCCATCTTCCTCCACCTTAAATTTAATAATTTAACATTAATAGCATTTAAGCAACATTCTGATTAATGATCCTCATTATTATTGCCCCTGAAACATCTTGGTGTTAAAACAAAAAAAGGCATAGAACCGAATTTAGCTTCATTTAGTTTTGTATCATGGTGAATCATTTTCTCCTTTTGGTCTTTTTAGTGTTTTCAGGCCAATATTAGAAATAATATTGAATTGGGTTCAGGATAAAAAATATTGAGATAATAAAACTAGACCTGCACATCAAATCAGGATTCCTTAATGAAACTTGAAATGTCGGCTTATAGTTTAATCCGTTCTTAATATAAGTAATTAGAAAAAGGGATCAACTGTGATCTATAGTGACATTTAATTGCAGTTTTTTATATTGTAAACTATATCTCCATGTTTGAGTCTTTTTTTTTCTCACACAAAACAAGATAGATTATGACGCCTAATAAACAAAGATAGCTGAGCAAACTCCTGTGGCTGGATAACACTTAATAGAGTCACAAAATGATTTTTCCTTTCATAGACTATAAAAAGATTAGGATTACAGGTATCGACTATTTTAGTAATCGATTTAATCTGTTATTTTTTCAATTTTTGAAGAAAAAAATAATACTTTTAGTAAATCAATATTAATAAATTAAAGGACATTTTGGAAAAAAATTATTGTCCTTTTTAAATGTAATGTAAATGGTTAAAATGTTAATTTATGTCCTACATTTTTGCTATAAGTAGGTTATTCTTTATACATAGACATTTAAGGGGGATGTGGACCATTATGCCATGTAACAATTGAATTTGATTAGCAAATTATTTATTTAATTGATGAATCTCTATTAATGCGAATAATTGTCTCCCTTCTAAAGAAGTTTTAGAAAATTATTTAGGTTGTTAAAGAGGATTTAACGTTTCCAATGGCAGACAGCTACCTTTTCTGCCTAACATTTCTTGGGCACAGAAATCTGAAAAAAAAATGTAGTTCCTTTACCTCCATGAGTGGTTGTGCACCAGTGTAGGTGATATAAAAATTATTGCATTTTAACTGAATGGAATACATGAACTGAAGATGAGTTTAGATGCAATAAAAACTGTTCTACAAACTGAATAGCTATTTGTCGCTCTCTAAACTTGTTGGTAAATGGAAAAGCATTACCTGTCCTGTTTATTGGGTAAGTTTCTTTGATGCCAAGTTAGATTCTAATGGGGTTAAAGAAGGAATAATGGCCCCAGGAAACTAATCTGGTTCTTAGAAGAGAGTCTCTGCAGTGGAAACACACTGATATCTTGTTGCTATGTTTCTTTTACTTTAAAGAAAAAGGTGAGGTGGGAAGAGTTCCAGAAAAAAACAAGTCTGTTTTTCTTTTTTTACTTGTGGAAAGTTTTCCAAACAGTTTTTTTTTCTTTGGGAAAAGTTCAGGTTAAATCAACTCATGGTTGTTATACACAGCTTACTGACAGCTTCCAGCAACAGATGAGGGTGGAGCAGCAGCAGTCTTTACTCCATTGGGTTAGAGAAAACCCTGCTCTGTCAGTCTGTCAGTGTTTATTAAATGGAATTTTACAATGACTTTGAAACAATGCCTTTCTACTGCTGTGTGCCTTAAAACCAGAAAGTGCTTCTGCTTATTACAACCATCAGATTATCCACGTTTTAAAGTCCTGACCCTGGCTTAAATAGTTAGAATAGCTGTCATTATGGTAAAAAAAAAAAAAAAAAAAAGAGCTATAAGAATCAGTGTGAAGTCCCCTTATCTTTGAGCAGAAGTTTTTGTTGAAAATATTTAATTTATCAGTTTTAAAATCTTTGTGTGATAAATATGATCTCTCCAGCTGCTATTGTTCTTAAAAACAGCCCTTAAAGCCTATGTCTTCTAGTTTTACCCATACCTGATGCTTTTCTAGCCTCCTTCTAAATGATGATCTCTCTGATTATGTTTTTAATTACAGAATGCAACCAATAGCGCAGCTACAGGAGATGGCGCAGCCACCGGCAGTCGATTCAAACTAGATATCCTCAAGAATAAAGCCCGCACATCCCTCACCAACTCCCTTGAAAACATCTTCGCCAGGGTAGGACAGATTTTTATTTTTTACCTTATTACTTTCCTGCTCTGTTTCAGTATTTTGTCTTCATTTGTCCTCCACCTGACTGAAAACAGCCCCAAGCTATGGATCTTTTTTGTCCTTCCCCCACCCAGCTCGGTCTTTGTGTTTGTAGCTGTTTCAGTGTCGTACTCATCCAGAGGATTTGGATTGACCCATATCTGCCAGGGAGACAACACAATAATTCCTCAGTGAAGGGATCCAGGCATTCAGAGAGTCTCTGCTGCCATCTGTTATTATCTCTGACACCTAGCTGAACAATCACACTGAATCCTATCAAATCTGAAAACATCTCCCCTCTCTGTATCTTGTTTATTATCCTGTTTTTTTTTTTTTTATAATTGTATCTTTTTGCAGTATGTTTCACATTTTATCTCGATATCTGTCACCAGGGAAGCAGAATGCGGGGCCGCCTGGGAAGCATGGGAAGCGTTAGCAGTTTCGAAAGAGTAAGTGTCCTTGAAAAAGGAAACATGAGAATTCCCAGAGCTTTATCCTGGGAATTCTCTCACTTTTACCCACCGGCTTATTTAAACCCTATTATATTCCACCTCTGCCATGAGCATCAGAGCAGAATAATAGATTTCCTCTCTTTCTCCAGTTATTGCATGCTGCCACTGGGGCTTCTTTCACATGGAGACAGGAATTTGCTCTGAACTGTTTCCACATGATTTTAAGATTAAATGGCGCTTGCCAAGAGGCCAAACTGTGCTGCAGGGAGTCCGTTCACAGAGGTGTCAGTGAACCACTCATAACAAGTGGTTGAATTTTTCCACTGTTGTGCAGAATGTGAAGTGAGAATGAAATGGAAGTCTCCTCGTGTGTTTATCAGCATGAAGTTCCAAGCATTTTGTTGGTTTTGCATATGCTTTCTACAACATTTATAAATTACAATAAGGTGGTGACTACTGCAACAACCTCTGCTCAAATCTAACCTATTACTATGATATAGATATTTTAGATATATTTAGTTAGATGAGCAGATACATGTTAGAAGATCTGATTAACATCACTGCAGGCTTCTTTATGAATTCATTATTTAGATAAGTTACAGCTAAGATCACAGAAAGTTTGAACTGAAATCAAGAGAGTAACAGTGAAAGCAAGTGGCAGCTACACAAGTACAGTGTCAGCCAGTTTTTAAAAAATATACTTTATCATTTTCATGATGTTGATTTACACATGAGTGACAATGTAGATCTAGACAATACAGAATGGGAACATTAAGGTTTGGCAGATTTTATTACAGTACTCTAGGTTAATATTTTTTAAACTTATATCTTCATTTTAGGATGAATCAGAGTCTCAGTAACCTTGTGCGGCACCAGATCTGAGTTTTCAGTCTCATAACAGCTAAAAGGTCCGTCTCGTAACCACCAGCGGGTCGGACCAATGATGAGCCAGCAGTGTTTTTTTTGGGGGGCGACATGTAGAAATGAAGACAGTCAGAAGGGCCTTGCCGGGGCATTACAAACATAGCTATGCTGGAGGACCCACCTGTTGATACTGCAATTGACTTGGTTTTAGCAAAAATAGCAACAATTTTTCATTTAAAAAAGGAGTAAAGAGAAGCACGTTGTGCATTTGTAGATGGGGAAAGATGTATGTGCTTTTCTTCTGACAGGATTTGGAAAAAGTTTAATTTATCAGCTTACGCCACTAGTTGTGAGAACACTCACTATTGTGATCATCGTGTCTCTGTTGGTAGCTCTCATGGACGACCAAGTTGCTGCATCTATTAAGCTGGGTTTTTCTGCTGTGAAGCTGGGTGACAATGATGGCAAAGTCCTGATTTGAAAGCGCATTATGGAAGGCGGGTACTAGCTGGCATGTCACTGAATCAGCTCTAAATATTGCACTGAATAACCCTCTTTTTCATAGACAGACTGAACGGCAGCCATCCCAGATTGATAACGTAGAACTCAACTCAGTTCTGCACTTTTCAGCCTGGCTGCTGCCAGGTTGGGGTCTCAGTTCAGGGTGTCCAAAGTGTGGCCCTTGAACTATTTGCAGCTTTTGGTAGGTTTTTATGTGACCCTAAATAATGATTGAAATACAGATTTTCATGTGAGATTTTCCTGATAAAGTGCAGAACGATTAAAATGTTCCCTTATATTTAAAAATATCTGGCACAATTTAAACATTTCATCTTTAGAACAAAGTTGTTAGCCTAGCTTTTAAAGTTTTTGTATGCTTTTCTTTCATGAAGGTTTAGTCATGCTTACTGGATGTGTTTCTGTGAACATTGGACTGCTTTGTTTTATTGAAAAACTCAATATCTAGTCTGTTGCTAATCAGTTAATAGATATTAATAATAATCGGAAAATTTACAATAGAAATGTTTGAACTTGAAATAATTAGTGTTTCTCATGGCAAAAGGTTTGGCACCACTGATAGCTGTTTTCTGAGATACTAAAACAATAGATGGTACCTAAATCCAGCCAGTAGGTGATGATAAAGTTAAAATTCAAATGAAGCCTGGGTTTAGCAGAACTAAAGCCCAGCCTATTAATGGAAAGTTTTTAAAACTCTTCTCTTCAGGTCACATTTGAGTTTCAATAAAAGTAAAATCTAGAAAAATGTGAGGAAGAACACAGAAAAATAAAAATTGGTTTCTGTCATTGAAAGCAATGGTGTAGTTATGAGAAAAGGGTCTTTATACCCTTGCATTTAATGATACATGCACAACGATGCATAAAAAAATGAGTATTATGAATTAATAATTTTGCTTAAATTGATTGTAGGTAAAAAATTTAGCAGCTGTTAGGTTTTAGGGAAACGATACATCAGTGTTTAGAGGGGTTTCTGAGCTGTTTAGCCTGTTGATCAACTTTAGCATGCAACACGGTTGCAGCCATGCTGCGAATATCCATGGATATGATCTCCAATTGCAAAAGACTGTTTAGGTGCATTTTTTTTGAAAAAGCACTGAAATTTCATCTGCCTATCACTGAAGCTCTATTTACCAAAAACATATCTGGTGGCTGAGACACCTGCACTTCTGCTGCCCTTTTATTGCCCAGTGAATTGGATCTAAGATTAAACCAAAAAGATCTGGGAGAGTGGTAAAAATGTTGTTCTGATTGAAAAAGAAACAGGCAGCAGTACAGCAGAGTCATATCACACTATTTATGTTTCACTACAGCCGTCCTGCCTTTTGGGAGTTGTTCCCCGAGAAAAAAGATTCTTAAAAATATGCAGAAAATTGCTCAGGAGAATCTGAAAGATATCTGTCAAGCCTCCACTTCAGATCCATCAAAACGCTTCTAGCTTCAAACCCATCATGTCGGATTTACTCAAACCCAGAGCTGCCAGGTTGAGGCTTCTTTTGTCCATCTTTTATTAATGTTGCATATCTTCTACTCTCTGAAATCAGTCAGCAGCTGCAGATTATTGTTTTGGCTCCTATCCATCAGTCAGATTGATAGTACTTAAATCCTGCAGTTGGGGTGCTTTCTCAACTTTGTACAATAAAAAGCGGTTAGAAAAAACAGCTTTTGTTGACAATAAATGCATCACATGCTTTGTGGGACCCCCCCACCACTCTCAGGATATGATGTATGAGTAAGCAGGAAGCCCCTCTCAGGATGTCCAGTAAAGCTTCAGCTGACTTGAGTCTGTCTGGCATTGTCTTTTAGCCTCAGCATAGGAAAGAATGACACAGAGTCTGAAATGCAGCAAAGACAAAGTGCTCACAGCTTCAGTTTGTTCTGCAGTTCTACTCCAGACAGAAACTAAAGTAGTACAATGATGGAAACAAGCAGCACAAATGTCACTGTATGTCCAGTATGCTGACAGAAGTTAGGAGGGAGGTCTCTGAAAGCAGCACAGGAGCAGATTGGAGGCTTTTCATGCTGAGTTGCTTCCACTGAGGTCCTCCCCACCAATAGTGAGCGATGCTGCGAGTCATAGGACATCATCCATTAGAATACAATAGATGTGGGAGTTGTACCAGCAGGCATGAGGCACAAAGTCCAATAGTGGCGAGTAGAGAAGTTAAGCGTGGAGTCAATTTTACTATGAGGAAGTAGGTAGGTGCAGATTTGGAACCTTTGTGTGTTTTTATGGCTGTTTGTGATTTTATTTCCAAAATGCTGGCTTGTTTGACAGATTTAAGTCCGAGCATCCTGGACCTGAATGTGGTAAATATGTAGCAACATTCAGCCTCTCTCTTCCACTCTTTGTCCTCTCCAGCAGGATGAAGAGTCTCCTGGTCACTCCCCTCCAGGTTCGCCTCCCGCCTTCCCGGACGACGAGCAGGAATTTGGACCTCAGTTCCGTCGGCGCGCTCACACCTTCAGCCACCCGCCGGTGAGGAAGCGGATCTCCTTCGAGAGCCAGCCTGCCAACCAGAGCAAACAGGCTCCTCTTCGCAGACAGCACTCTGTTAACCCAGAGCTGCTGCAGACCAGGTAAAATGACTGAAATAGTCGGGCAGTCTTTGCATCCTTTTCTTTACACTATAGAAAACACATTACAATCATGTGACCAAAGATATGTCTGTTTCTAACATTTTAGTCCTCAAGTTATTTAACAACTATTTATTTAAGCATTTGATTTCAGCGCACACTTTGTAATCTATTAGCAACACTTTGATCACTCTGAAACCTCTCTTCCCCCCAGCTGTCCTCTTAAACAATAGCATCACAGGTTTCCTGTCAGTGTTTTGGACCCACATGTATTCCCCCGATGTTGTGCTTTCCTTTATGTAATGTTTATTCTTTTTTTTTTTTTTTTTCATTTGTGGCCATTTCATGTTCGGCCCTCCTAGTCACGTGGCTGTGACGAGGACACGCAGCGTTTCAGAGAGCGAGTCCTCCTTCAGCCTCCCCTCCACCTTCTCTGCTCCAACTTTCCTGAAAAGCTTTTACCAGGGCTCGCTGGGCTCCCTGGCAGACAGTGGGAGCTTCAAGAGGTGAGCCGGGGGAGCTCGGACCTGCCCCCCCTTTGCGTAGACAGACAGCTGATAATGGAGGTGACATCTGTGGGAAGGGAACAGCTGACCTGTTGCTATCCTGCTGGGATGGCAGGAGCCATAAACCATGTTGGCTGTGGAATTTCTATAACTCGCATCTATGCTTTCCACGTTCTTTCTTCCCTTTTTTTTTTAAATATTCACACAATCTTTCCAGGATTTCCAGACTTTTCTTTCCCTGTTAGCTTTGCAGCCGGACCTGCCTTCTTCCCCTTTAGACAGAGAAACTGATGCACAGTTCTCTTTTATTTGCATGAACATTTTATGCTTTTGCACGACAAACTTCCTGTGTTTCACTGGGACAAACAGATATTATTTACTACATTTCATCCTTTTACGCATGACAGCATATTAATATGACCTTTTCAGGCTTTTTTTAATTGGGGTTCTGTGGAACAGACCAATGCAAAGTAGCTGATTGTTGAAGTGAAAGAAAAAGCATACCTTGTTGTAAACTCCGTGGTTGATTTCTCTGCAATGATGGCAGAGAAATCTGCCGATTCTCCTAACATGACTTGATCTAAACATGGCCGCCGAGGCTCTGCCTGTGATTAGAGTGTCTGTCTAAAGATGAATCTTCATGGCTGTCTCACGTCTTTAACAGCTTCCAACAGGTTGTCATCACGATTTGCTCAAAAACAAACACGGCGTTCTACTAGTAGGTCCAAAAGTTCAAAGTGCTTCTTATTCAACAGAAGAACTTTCTTCTAATTTCTTTCATTTGGCAAGCTGGACTTTTTATGAGTGTCTTTTGTCAATGGATTTCTTCAGGCCTTTGTTCCAAAAAGGTCAAACTCATGGATGCATAACGAATAATTGTCATATCAGCAGATTCTCTCTCCTTCGGCATGGATATCTGCCTCTCCATTGGCTCCTTGGTGACCCCATTAATTAGCCCTTTCCTTGCTGACCTGTCAGTTAAATTGACGTCCTTGTCTTGTTTTAGTTTTGCAGCTGTAATCTGCTCATACTAAAAGGCTCACTGAGATCTTGATCTTTTATGACCTTACTTTTCTTTCAACATCTCTCTCAATTTGTATTCTCCAAATTCCATGGCGCTCCTCGATCTTGACGGTGGTATTTTTCATAATTGTTCTCTATCAAGCAGCTGTATTCATACTGACATTAACAGGTGAATTCCACCTAATGATAAGTTGACCTTTTGAGGCCGATTATTTGGGAGTTTTTTATGGGGTATGAGAGTAAAAAGCCCATCAACATCACATTCTTTCTGGTTTTTATTATTCTATAAAAATGGATTTTGATGAGCCATGAATCGGTTTCTTCCACTTTACAGCCATGCAGTAATTGCTGTTGCTGTCAAAGAGCAAATTGATAAGAAAGAGACGGAGTTAACCTCCTTTGTTTTTATTCTATTTATTCTCAGGGTTTTTGGAAACCTTTAGCTAATCGATGTCTGTGTTTGGCTTATTGATAAAAACAGGACAAACCGTATCTGAGAGTCTGTTGTGTCTCCTTATGGGGTCTGAATGGCAGAAAGTAAAGGTTAACATTTCCATTATGAATGAGATGCAGCGGAGCAGATCATTGTGCTGTATTACTTCCTCAGAAGGTGTCGTTTTCTCTCCTAGCAGCCAGACTCCAGTGGTAGCCCTGGTATCTGCTGTTAGTTCTTGAATTTCAGAGTTTCTTCATTACGGAGCGCGTTCAGAAGCCTTCGTTTGAAAAATGCTGCATAGAACATCTTCATTGTCAGGATTTCTTTCTGGTGTTTTGAGATCCTTTCTGCAGCTGAGGTTTTTTTTTTAGATGCTGCCTTTTAGAGGTGAAAAAGGAACATAAATCAAGGGAGGAATTTTAAGGAGTAATTTGTGAAGCACCAGTTGCTGCCCGATCTCTGCTTTAATGACACTAGTCTTGAACCAAGGTCACTTCCTGTTTCCCACTGCTCACATGGTCAGACAGGCTTTTGTGTGCTGAGCAAGCTTTTTGTGACTATCAGCAATAGGCGGACATAATTATTTATTGGGCTGAAAATGGAAATGCCAGAAAATCACTTTTTGCTTCAGGTGTTTGAATTGTTTCCATAATCTTCACACAAAATAAATTGATTTATCTTATTTTCAAGCCATTGAAACATTAATTTGATATAAGTCATCTTGGCAAATATGGAAAGCTGCTTTTTATTTAAATAATTTAAATGAAACTGTTCCCCATGTGCAAAAATCCATATACTGTAGAAACTAGATTTAAAATTTAATATTTTTAAAATGTTTACAGTTTTATTTTGTTAATACCTTCGTATATCTCCTTAGTAGTCTGCACCTTAGCTTAGCAAGGACGGATCTAAAATATAGAAAACATACCATGTGGGAGCACAGTAGTGGCAGCATTATGCATTATGGAGGAAATAGGTGGAATCAAAGTCAGAATAATTTGTCAAAGGCTCAATAGTACTAGGGGAAAGTAAACTTACTTGTATGACGTTCTAATTATAGTTGTTGATTTCTGATTATTGAGCATGTCAATAAATGCCTGTAGATTCCTTTTCAGCACAAATAAGTTGTGTTGGAATCCCAACATTAAAAGTGATGTTAGAGGAGTTTGAACAATGAGTCAAAGAGTGTGATGTTGGACATTATCCTCTTTTTAAATAAAAATCTCTGAATCAGATCGCCAAAAAATAGCAGATTTTATTAAAATCTACCAACAAACTGATTTCTTATGAATATGTTGATTGTATGGTCTGAGAGAGGCGAGTTCTTAAAAGATTTTGCATGCGATTATTTTTGGCTAAAACTACAGCAAGGCTGAGAACATCAGGTTTAAAAGAGATGCTCTTTTTCTTCACTGATGATCAGCTTCTGTTTCAGGAAGACAATGAAGGTGTGCATGTTCCTCAGCCGTGGCGAAAGTTTGTTCTGCTTACTAATGCTTCATTAACACAGAGACGATTAAAAGGTGTATGGCTGTTGGTTTTCTGAACATCCTAAAGGTTCAGCTTTGCCATTTTTTTTTTAACTGCCCAGAAATTTGAATGAGTTCTCCTGTTGTGCTTTGGTTTTCAGAGTGTTTGTGTCTGCCATTATTAGAGCACTTAAAAAGAGTCGGTGTAATGTGACGCCGGACCCCTTTATCAGGTGTCTCTGACACATCTGTCGTCTCTTCTAGCAATGGAGAAGGCAGGAAAAGGACGCTGTCGAGCTGCAGCAATGACTCTCTGAGCGGAGGTCTCCCTCTGACCCCACGCAGGGTCTCCTGGAGACAGAAGATCTTCCTGCGGGTCGCCTCACCCATGCCCAAGCCATCTGCATCTATGCAGGACACAGGTGTGGTAACATAATCTATCAAGGACTTCTACAGGGAGCCATTGTGTGCAGCACATGATCTGCTAGAGCTGAGGAGAAAACTGTTTATGAAATCCTAAGTGGATTGATTTTTTTTTTTATGTTTTGCATGCTTACTGTATGCAGAAGGATAGTGGAAACTAAAACCTTTTTGTTATTTAAATACAGCTAGAGATGTGATGATTTGAAATTTTGTGCAAATTCATCACTGTAAGTTTTTGTCACAGGTTTGGTAAATATAATTTAAAAATGCTCTAATTGTTAGGCTGTTATGTAAAAACGTGACTGCAAATATTTTAAATAATTTATCTCCTGTTTTTAATTGGAATATATGTATTTTCTTTGATCATCCATTTTGTCTACATCAAACAAATTCACTATCTGGGACTGTAAATTCAAAAAGTAGTTTTCAACTGCTGATTTTAATATGTAATGGACACTAATGGACACAAATATTTGTTCATATTAATCTGTCTTTGTGTGAAAAAAAATAACTTTTTTTTTTTTTTTATTGCAAGTTAAATGTGATTACCAAAGTCTTACCAGCTTTACTCTGGTTATATGTCCTGCCCCAAAAAGCAAATCCCATGATGCTTTGCAAGGAGAGCTCTTGCAAAGCATTCTGGGGATTATTTTCTTCCATAGAAGCAAACTAATTTTAAGTTCACTACTTTTTCATCCACTAGATGTTCGGACGCTCATATATAATGGTGTCAACCCATAAGGGGATGAGAGCGGACATTCAGACACAGCCCAAGAGTGCATTGGGAACACATCCAGGAGGAAACAAAATAACCAAAAAAGCTTTAAGTAAATACAGGCCTTACTAGTTTGAGTTCATGATTAGTCAGAAATACATTGTTTAACAATGTAATCCATGGGGGATCTTTAAAGAAAAAAAAACCCTCTGACCAAAAAGAACACTTAACGTCTATCTAAGATTTGTCAAAATAACACATCTAGGTCAACAATGCAGGTGGATAATGAGACAAAAGTGAAACTCTCTGGAAGCTGATATGTTTCGATGGACTGTATGAAAGTTAATTGGCTCTGAGCAAAAACTCAGAGGGAGGAGAGTTTATTGTTTAGTTAAGGATTGAAACCTGATGTAAATAAATTACCTTTGGGACTTGGGGAAACTGGGCGTGTGTCAAATGATGTTTATGCAGTTGACTCATTTTTAAAGAACAATCCAGATGCCACGACTCTCTGCTTTTTCATGTAGTCCAACTGTTATGTTAATGATGTTTACGCCGTCTGATATTAATTTAGTTGCTTAGCAGTGGAAAAAAGTGCTTCCCCTTTTGTTCCATTGCTAAGCCACTGGTTTTGTCGTGTCTTATTTGGGGAAAGGGGTGAATAATCTTTTCCTGCATTTTTTGTTTAAAGCAGGTGCTTTTCTGCAGAAACTGCTTTAGACACCAAATCCTAAAAGAAAAGCAGCTGCATGGAACTCAACTCTTTGCAATACTTTTGGCTCAACACTGCAAATAAATCTCATTTGTTATTGTATTTTAAAAGCAATGTGTATTGTTAACACATATTGAGGTTTTTTCACTTGCTATTATGTTTTTTAGATGACTCCGATGCCACGGAGCTGCTGCCTCTATCGCCTCGTGCCTCGGACCCCAGCCTGGACCCTTTGAGGCGCCTTTTATCCCCAGCATCGCATCAGCTGTCTGATAAGCACCCCAAAAGGACAGGAGCCGATTATAGGGCTCTCTGGAAAACCGCAATCCACCAGCAGATCCTCCTGCTGCGCATGGAGAAGGAGAATCAGAGGTTAGAAGGTGAGTCAGTACTTCCCTGCAGCAGAAGGGGCATTTTAAGCCTGGAGCACATTCTTTTCTGGTCACATGAAGGACACATGACGCTCATGGTGTCCTCATACTTTCCATAACAGAAAGTACGCTTTGTTTTTCCTCACTGTTAGATTTAACCCTATTAACCAGTTTATGTTACAGAAAGCTCCATGACATGCACTTCAATTTTTGTCCACTTTTGAGATGCCTGTTTGAAAAAAGACATACCTGGCATTATCACAACATGTTTTTAACAACTTAAAAGGTGCTGACAAAGTATTAACATCTGATTGGAGCTGAGGTGCTGAAGCCCAGAGCTAATTTCTGCCTGAATATGTTCAACAAAGCAAATCAGGAATCTCCACAGTTATCAGGCTTTAATTAAAAACATGTCTAAAGATAATGCATAGGTTTTTGTTATAGCTTAATCAATACGTATTACGGATGTTTAAATGCCTGATTTATTTATCTTGAAACAAAATGAATCATAAATCACCACCCCTCCTGCAGTACCTCCATGATCCAGGGGGTTGTGCCTCCCCATGAACTGTAAAAACCTCTATTCTAAAGAGAATAATTAAGGCTTACAATTTTTAAATTTTTTTTTATTAATTTTCTTTTGAACAATCTTTAATATAAAAATCTTGATACTCTATGTTAATTTTCACAACCAAAATGAAACAAAATATGTAAAAAGCTTGAAGTCATGATGTTATATTGGGATAATGTTTACCAGGGTTTTTTTTATCATTCCATTGTCACAAGTACAGCTCACTGAAATGAACTCTCTGCTTTTAACTCATCCCCTTGGGTAGCAGTGGTCTACTGTTGTGCGGCGCCCGGGGAGCAGTGTGGGGTTAAGGGTCTTGCTCAGGGACCCAGAGTGGCAGACTGTGGGAGTGGTGCTTGAAATGAAAACCTGATTCCAACATGGATTCCAAGCGCAATGCCCTAACCACTCGGCTGCCACTCCCCTATTTTTCACAGTGGCCTCTAATTAATTAATTTAATTGAAGCATATTATATAGATTAATCACACACAGACTGACATTTTACAGCCTTTTATGTTTGTTAATTATGAACATATTCAGCTTACAGCTATTAAAAGACTGACATTTAAATTTAAACTATTTGATCGGCCAATAGATAAAAACCAAAAAACATTTTAGACTAGAAATGTGGGCTTAGTAAAAAGATTTTTCTAGTTGATTAAATATGACTGTATATGGCATCCTAATGCAATGAGACGGAAGTCAGTAGAAACAGTGAAATATTTTGGAGATCTAACATGGCTTCACTTTTACAGCCACTAATTCATCACGACAGCAGGTGGCTTCCCGTGACAAAAAGTTCTGGTAGGGTAGACTCTAATTTCCTCTATTTCTGTCACTAGAACACAGAAGTAGAACAATGATCGTGAAAGACAGACTAAGTGTTAATGAAAGCAGCTGAAGGTCACACTCAGTCAGTAATTGTTCTGCTCACTGAACCCCTGTAGTGAAATTAAAGGAAAGCTGTTATTAAGACACTGGAATTTTGCTTCACTCACACAAGTATTCATAAAGCTCATGACATGAGCTTCTTATTTTCCCTTGAAGTGAACTCCCTAGCTGTCCACTTATTCAGTGGCCAATCATGTTTCAAAGACTAAAACCTTTTTTTCTCTTTAGTGAAAAGAATGTGTCATCTGTTGTATAGAGTTCTGCACAGTTACAGTAGTAAAACACTAACTTTATGCTAACAAATGGTGACACATCTATTTTGATAAGAAAAACACTTCGCTACCCATTAAAAATGCAATATAGTCACAATATGTGCTTCTGACATGTCAATGACCATTTAAGGTTGAGCCTTTCTGTTTTGTAGTTGTGGCATTAAACAATTGTTTAAAAAAGATGTGCTTCTAAATGATTTACTTCCTTATAAAGAGAATGGGAAGGTACTTTTATACCTTAAACGGTCAAATGAAAATTGTTTTGAAAGAAAGATGATTTAAATATAGACTTCTGCTTATTACATAATAAAAAAATGCACTAAACTGGTATTAATGATACCTTTAATGACCTTTAATATTGTAATGATTTTATGTTTGACATCCATCCTTTTCTAAAAACTTGATGCCACTTGCAACTTCATAGCCCTTATTTTCTGTCAGCAAAGCTTCTTGAGATCGCGTTGTCTGGGTTCATGGAAAGAGTTTTTATCTGATTTTTTTTTTTTCTTTTTGATTGATATTGCTTCATATGAACACTAAAAGTCTTCTTAGGATTATGAACTCTGAAATCACCAACCCCTAGAGGCCTGAGTGTTTTCTTTTTTTTTACACATCATTTATTCCTAATAATGTCAGATCTGCTCCCCTTCTATACAGGACAGCATTAAAAACCACATTACTTTGATTGATAGACAGATAGACTTAATGTATCCTGGGAAACTGCAGTGTAGCAGCAGCTTTTCACATAGTAACAATAAAATAAATTAACATCTAGACGTATTTACTATATAAATGCGATCTACTCCCTGTATGTCCAACACCAACACTTCTCTTTTTGTTTGTCTAATATTTTGACGTCAATGCTGGTCTGAGGACCTTACGCTGAAAAACTGTTTTCTGTAGAAGGTAAGCAATATAGTAAAAGCCTTTGGGATCAGGGTAGAGGTTCTGCATGATGTTGGTGGCGAGCTCCAAGAGTTGTTAACTTCCTTTTTCTTTGACTTTTCTTTTTTTTGCATGTTAAGGGACAACTATCTTCATGGTGTCTGGTACTTTTTTTTTTATCTTTTTGACCCTCTCATCTGTATAGTCATTTCTTTAGGATAATACTATTTTTCACTGGTTGTTATTATAGTGGCTTTTGTGTCTTGTTTTTCCATCTCAGTTGAAGGGTTCATGGTCTATATGACGGGTTCCTCCTGGTTTTATTTGTTTAAAGTACAGCCCTATTTATGTCTTCTCTAGTTTTACGTCAGCAAACATTGTTTAGTTTGTTTTCTTATCTGTTTCTGTGTTTCTAATCGAACTGAAGCGAGCCGAGATGAGCTGCACATCCGCAAACTGAAGCTCAACTACCAGGAAGTGTGCCCCTGCTCCCAGGAAGCTCAGGCGCTCTGGGAGAAAAAGCTGACAGCTCCAGGCAGAACCACAAACCCTCAGGATAAGGAGGACATATACAGAGCAATTTGCCAAGGTAGGAGGGATGTGTAATGATCAAAACATGATTTTACTGAGTAAATGTTACCCAACTTATTCTTGATCCTTTTTTTTTCTGCAGGAGTGCCAAAAAGTAGACGAGGAGAGGTCTGGTTTCTCCTTTCCCATCAGCATCGGCTGCAGCACAGACTCCCCCATCGTCAGCAAGCCCCAGACACCCCCTACTACGACCTGCTCAAGCAGCTCACCGCACAGCAGCACGCCATTCTGGTGGACTTAGGTGGGCATACTCACCTAAAGTGGTCTCTGTTTTACCACACAGGCCTATTAGGATTAGAAACAACAAAATGGGAAGTAAAGATGCACCCAGTTGTTTTTTCCTGATCCAATAACAACATACTGTCAAATATCTGTAACGATCTGATACTTGTGTTGATCGTACACCTTGCCATGTGAATAAATGCATTGTGTTTGACATAAACATTGTTAAAACAAGGTAACAATTTGACACAGATAAATTATCACTAGCTGCTATGTAACCATAAAATTTAGGTCACTAGATCACTGTAACTATATTGCTCTGCAGGATAGCAATATAAATAGAAATAACTGGGTTAGAATACCGGATCGGCGTCATTTATCCGATATCGGATCCAACTAATCGGACAATATTGGAGCCAATATCCGATTAGAGTATCTGTAATGGAAAGAATTTTTGGGACTATCCAACTTTTTAAAGCACAACTAAAGTTTGTACGGTAGGAATGTTACAGTAGTGAAGGTTTTTGCATGTAATTTAAAGAATTTAATTTGTTTGATTTTCTTTTTCTTTTTTTTTTTACCTTATATCGATTCGACCAACATTTGTCAGATTAAGTAAAAGTGACCTCTGCATGTCAGATTGCAGTGAAAGAGATATGAGGAATCCACAGACTGTAAGAAATAAAGATTAGTGGATTGATAACATTTTAATTTTCTGGTGAAATATTCCATTTTCATTCAGTTTCACATTTCTATTCCAGCCAGCAGGACACTAAAGGTTACTAGAGCAGAAACTGTTGGGTCTTTTCTACCTTTAAAGATGGCCTGGTATTTAAGATTTCAGTCAAATGTTTTCAGGGCAGACAGCAAAAAAAAAAAAAAACAAGTGTGGACCTGAACAAGGGGAGGGAAATAGGAGATGATGGTGAAGTTTACCATCAGTGAAAGAGTTGGTAAATTATGCAGTGCAGTGGGCATTGAGTTTTCTAATAGTTTTCATTGGCTAAAATCAGCAATTCTGCTTCAGGTTTACTAAGTGGGAAAAAATGTAAAGAGAAGGTTAATCAATTGGAGCTTTGATTTAAAGGTCATAGATACAACATTTACATCATGAGCATTCATTTAAAAAAATATAATACATCCTCAGAAGGGACAGCCGAAATGCTGTTTGCAAAGACTGAACAGGACAGGTGGGAGAAAAATAGATACTGTCTGTTAATGGATTTAGGAGAAAACATATTGGTATCAAATCTAAATACGGTGCATAACTACCCTTTACCATGATAAGATTTATTGACTCATATCTACGCCACTCATCGCTATCAGGTAGAGGTGCACCTATCAGTCCTGTTAGTGAAAACCCAGATGTGTTACACAGGAAAATTAGATTATTTTTATTTTTACCTAGAGCTCGAAGTGCTTTCCTCAAGATAGGGCCATTTTTGCTCACTCTTATTGTAAATCAATATTACTCTTTTTAAAGGCGAACCAAATGATGATTTCTTTCTGAGTAGACCATTTCTTTAATGTGAATAAATTTGACTCAGACAAATTACCTGCATCGATTAACAAAACAACATGCATGACCTGTTTGAGTTTTACAAGCAGTGCACATTAAGACTGACTATGATTTGAAATAATTTCTCAGCAAACTAAGGCCAAACAGCTTGCTGGTGCAGCTGACATAAAATCCCAATCACAAGCCAAGGATCGTTTGATAATGCCTTGATCAGGATGGAAGTGGAGTAAGGTGGTAGACTGATGTTACTGCTTTGCAGCAGCCACAGTTACATTGATTTCTTTTATTAGGGACTGTTTTCATAACAAAAAGCTAATATCGGTAAATCTGTTCACCTCCTCAGGTCGGACCTTCCCCACCCACCAGTACTTCTCAGCCCAGCTTGGTGCAGGCCAGCTTTCCCTCTACAATTTGCTGAAGGCCTACTCTTTGATGGACACAGAGGTACATGCTGTAATCCTTGCTGCTCTGCTCATTACAGTAGAAACCTTCTCTAAGGTTATTTTAAAATGAGTTGCTCTTGTCTGTGCTCCACAGGTCGGCTACTGCCAGGGCATCAGCTTCGTGGCCGGCGTGCTGCTGCTCCACATGAGGGAAGAACAAGCTTTCGACATGCTGAAGTTCCTGATGTATGATCTGGGCATCAGGAGGCAGTACAGGCCCGACATGGTCTCCCTGCAGGTCGGTGCACACAAGTACTCATCCCCATCAGAACAAGTTATCTCATGAGAGCACAGGAATGTTTAGGACATCAGTACCAGGGGGCTTTCAGTAGTGTGCATACAATCCCTGTTTTTTAATGTTCTTTAACATCATAGCCACAAATTTTAAACTATAGAAAGTGTTGCATGAATTTATATTCATAACTGGAGGTGTCCACCGCTGACAAAAATCAGTCCTTGTAGCTTCTAGCTGCATCTTTCAAGTCATTTCCTTTTTAGAAGAGGAACTGCAACCCAGTCTAAATTCTTTTACTGCCTCTAAATGTCTTTTTGTTTTCTTATTAACTCTATCTATCTTGTTGTCTCTGCTGAAGAAATGCTGCCACCTCCATATTATTATATTATAGTATATTGTTATATTACTAACTAGTAAAAAGCAGTGTCTTATTCCCTCTCCCCTTAATAATAACAAAGTCCTTTGTATTGCTCTCTTACATATTAAATACAATATATTTAAAATCTTATAGTAACGTTAAGTGGTAAAAATGCTTCTGCAAGGGGCACTGCATTTACAGGTTGCTCACAGTGTTGAAATGTTTTCAGATTATTCCATAAAGGCCACAGTTCTCATCTGTGTTGTCTTTGTCCACTTTTGAATTGAAGTCAAGAAGCTGATGAGGTGCTTAAATCAATATTTCAATCGTTTGAAATCATAAAAGGATTCTTTATCTACAGGAGATCAATGATGTTCTTAGAAAATTTCTTTACCTGCAATTTCCGGAGCCGAGATTTCATTAAAGCATGACCTGGAAGTTTGTGGAATCAGGCATTGCTGAATTACTAAAACAGTATGCATATTGTAGAACAGCAGTGTTCTTATTTATTTTAGCAGTGCTGAGCCACATTTTGATTTGAATTCATGTTGCAAGGGCCCAGCACCACTGTTTTCTGCATTATGAACACTGAAACTTTTTTGCTGTATCAACCATTGTAGTCGACTTCTCCCCAATCACCAAAACTGAGAAAGGAAAATATGATGAAACGCATCTTTCAGTTTACGCCATCATGAGCTTTGAAATGTGCAGAAACTCTTTCAGAGTCGATATTTAATTTTTTATGCTGACTGGAATTCATTTCCTTCTGATGTTTGCATTTTCTGCATATTTCTTTTTTAAATCTTTAAACTCAGTCTCCATTCCAGATTTTCTTCTGGAGATGTATGTTTGAATGTACAGAAACAATAAACATGCACACATGAAACATTTACTTCCTGTTTAACAGCAAGCAGGCTGGACGGCTTGTTTTATAGCGGTTATCGGCCTGTTAGCCTTCGTGGGTTTCCCTGCTGGCAGCAGCATGTCTCCACCTCTCTGTCAGACCACACCTGCTCTGTTAGCTTCAGTTAAACATCAGCTGACCTCCCTGAAGTTAAAGCATCAGCGGGGGGGTAATGTTTAATCTCCTCCAGGTAGTCATTCAGCCAGGCAGAAGCTGTTCTTCTTCTCTCTGCTGCGGTTCTGCTCTTTAAAGACACACGGGAGATATTTGCTCAGTTTTCTGTGTCTTCATCAACAGTTAAAGGTATTGCTTATCTTCTTTGCTGCTGTGGGGAAATGTTAAAAGCAGAGTGTCTAATTTTAACCTGTGCTAACTTCTGCTTCTCCTTTTCTGCGCTCTAAGCTGTCTGATATTGTAAAGAGTTATTGCCCTTCATTAGAAGGATGGTCTTGTCAGAGCAAGTCCTATAAAAACAACTGTGCTTTCACATTACCTGCTGCTGTGCTTCAATGAAAAAAAATTTCTCTGATTCTTAGATTTCTCTTAGATAACTCTTCTCCTCCAGATCCAGTTATACCAGTTTGTTCTGAAGCAAAGTTGCCCTCTCTCTCTCTCTCTTGTTTCATCTCAGATTCAGATGTACCAGCTGTCCAGGTTGCTGCACGATTACCATCGGGACCTGTACAATCACCTGGAGGAGTACGAGATCGGGCCCAGCCTCTACGCCGCGCCGTGGTTCCTCACCCTTTTTGCCTCGCAGTTCCCGCTTGGCTTTGTGTCCCGCATCTTTGGTAAAGTCAAGAATCATGGCCTCTCTGTTTGGGGCCAAATGTATATAATATTTATATCAACCTTCAATCTTAGAGGGACATTAACACTTTTCTGCTGCCTCTCTTTTTTTTTTTTATTGTCGTTAGACTTTGTATTTGTACAGGGTACAGAGGCAATCTTTAAAGTGGCCCTCTGTCTGCTGAGCAGCCATGAGGGGGAGATAGTGGAGTGTGACAGCTTTGAGAGCATTGTGGACTATCTGAAAACTACCCTCCCCACCCTGACACACACACAGATGGAGCAGACCATCGCAAAGGTACCCTAAGGAACACTATAGGATGTAATAATTCCTTTTATCTGACAGTAAATTTGGATCCTCCTCTGACTTTTTCACATTTCTGTCTTAAACTTCTTTCTTTGCTTTAAATAAGTATCTGTTTTGGCTTTACCATGTGTCTGATTGTGACGATTGATGCAGTAAACATAAAAAATAAATATAAATACATTTGCATGTATTTTTTGTTGGGGTTTACTATACCTGTATTCTCACCCATTTTGCACCCTTGTCCCATTACGCTCTTAAACCTTAATGTTTTTAACCAATAATATAATCCAAACAGCATGACACAGCCACCTCAATATGTCACTGTTGGGTAGTGTTTGCCCAGGATAGTGTCCTGGTCTCATCTGACCAGAGCACACCTGCTGTGTCCTTAAAGGTATAGTGGAAAATGTTCACAAATTTTTGACAATTCACCTTTAAAAAGCATGCATAACCCTGTACAAAGAGGGAACACCTATAAGACATGTGCGAGAGCATGCACAACCCCTTTTCCCCTTAAGGATGTGCGGGGACGCAATGATAAAACGGTGGCTCGGATGGATCTCATGTCACCCATATTTGTATATAAAAAGTTTCCCTGCAAATAAGACTACTGCTACTTTACAAAAATAATGACATGCTTGTATGGAGAGTATTGGCCTAGTGGTTAGAGCAGTGCACTTTTGCTCTAAGAAGGGTGCAACTACCCGGTTCAATCCCCATAGCCTTCATTTTGGGCAAGACCCTTAACCCCACACAAGGGTCCCCCTCACATCGGTTGCCACACAATGGCAGCCCGCTGCTCCGCAAGGGGAGGGGTTACATGCAGAGAGTTTATTCCATTGCTCTGTACTTGTGACAGTGTAATGTTGATAAAAAAGCTGAAAAAAAAGAGAATGTGTGTGTTTGCTGCAGTGGAAATTTAGATGCGTATGCGGGGTAAATAAGGATATGTATCCACCGTATAACTGCATAACGATGCTAATTACAAGAGAGAAAGTTACAATATTGAGGTAGATAACTTTTACTAGCAGTGATGTGAAATTGATTCCTCCAAAAAGCATGCCAAACTTTACCTGTCGAGTACAAACTTTGCAACCGAGGCATCAGGAGGAAGCCCTAGCTGTGATTTCAGTGTATGCCAACACATGAAAGAATCTCCTACACTCTAGTCTTGTTTTTCTCTTCTTAGGCCTTTCTTTTCTTCTCATGCACTTTGTAGACATTTTTTTACTTATGACCATGGCCATTTTCAAAGAACCGCAGTGAGAAAGGCGAGCTTCAATGACTTTCTGAAACCGTAGCTCAGCATATAAAAGTGCACATGCGCAGAAAAAGAAAGCTAACTGAGGACGAGCACGTAGGACGGCCTTATGTAAACATATCACCAGAATGATTGACAATTAGGGGGACCACTTGTTTAGATGATCCACCCGGAAAAAGAACATTCTCCACTATACCTTTAAATGACCAGTGGTAAACTTTAAATTGGAATCTTCATGTTACTGCAGAGCTTGACATTGCTTAAAAATTTATTTTTTTAGTTTGGTATATAATAAAATTAAATACTTCATGTTCTTTCTGTTTGATTTGAACATAACACTCATGAGTTTTGGTTTGTAAATCACTAATTCAAATCAAAAGGGGAAAATTCCCACCTTTTTTGGGCTTCATTCCAGGTTGAACTGGGCCTGTTTCTGCTCCAAGTGACAAGTGCATTAAAACCATTTTATGAACAAGATCAAATGTACCAAATTTCACATACTGTTCTGCTTTTAAGTGTACTGCCATTTATTTCTTGCCAGAAGAGGAGTTTGAAATGTGACGAACAAACCCTGATACTTTTCTGATACCAGTGCTCTATTTCCTTTGTTATAATCATTACAGTTGATTTAATTTTTTTAAGAGATGGCATAAACTCCTCTCTAAAAACAAATATGACCTGTATGAATGTACGCATGTATTTCAAAAAGCCAACTTAAGATTAGTATACGGTTAGAAAAGGAAGTCATAAAAACAGTCAACATGACCACGGTATAAATTCCATCCTTAAGACACATATACAACCATACGGGTTCGAAAAATTTTTTTCTCCTTTTTTTCTTCACTTTTTTCTTTATTTTGAAAAATTAAAAGCAGTAAGAAGGAAAAAGAAAAAAGATTATTATTAACTCAAGGTCCGATGCCGTAACAAGAAAAAACTTTTTCTACTGTTCAAGAGACTTTTAACCTAAACTAAATCCATCGTAGAAATAGACTAAATAGATTGCCTCCTATTGACTGCCTATACCTGATCTAGAACTTCAATATTAGCACCCATACAGATATTAATATGTAATATCTGGTCAAGACGGCAAAAAGGAGCTGAATGGCACTAAGCAACACTGGTAAGTGTTGCACCAACTACTTTTTGAACTCTATTTTGTATTCAAATATCAACTATCTAAAAAAAAATTATAGAAAAAATAAATTAGAGTCTTAAAAATTTTTTTCTCCCCTCTTTGTGTCACTCTTCTATTAAGGAAAATCTGACAGAAAGTTTTATATATTGTGGGATAAAGAAAAATTGGGAATTTGGATTGGGATGAACTTACTTAATGTCTTACTTACTGGTGGCTTGTTTGGATTTGATTGGGAGTAGATAATATGCTGAATATAACCTTTTCCTTCCACCTTACAGTTATATTGATTTGTGGAAAACATCATATTTGTGTAACATGAAGATACAGTAGTTCAGGGGAATATCCACACTGATTCCATGTACTCCTATTAAAGGTTTGATGATCCAAAATCTTCCACTGCATTAGGAAGTGTTTAATTCAAGACTTCATGAGTCTGTATCAGAACAAGAGGTGGAGGACACTGTACACTTAGAGTTCCCCTAACTCATGTTTGATCGCCAGGTAATGGAGATGGATATCTCCAAGCAGCTGCATGCATATGAAGTGGAGTACCACGTCCTGCAGGATGAGATGTTAGATGCCGGGCCGCCGCCCGATGACTCGGACAGACTCGACAAATTAGAGAAGACCAACGTCCAGCTGAAGAAACAGAACATGGACCTGCTGGAAAAGCTTCAAGTAAGGAAACATCAAAAGCATCTTCTAGACTGAAACACGTTTGAGACACTACAACACTATTTTCAGAAGGAATCTTCACACGGTGTGTGAATGTAGATTTTTAGTCATTTTCTTAGATTGCCTGTAGGTGGCACTAATGCACCAGGAGAGAACGCAGTGGAGTTGTGAGAATGTTTAGGAGATGAAGGTCGGAGAGCTGTGATGTTCTGCCCATACCTGAACCATTACAGTGAAGTGTGAATCTGTGGAGGAGGACTGAAAAAGTCACACCTGATGAGCTCCATATTATCAGGAGGTCTTGAGGTGCTCTCATCTCTGATTTAACAAGATGAAATTACTGGAGGGTCTGTTTTTTTCTGAACTAAAAAAGCGACTCGTATAAAAAAAAAGTTTTTTTTTCAGATTGTGGATAAACTGTAGATTTAGATGCTTTGTGATAACTTTATCGCTATTGTTCTCTGCTATATAATAAGTCTTTCAGTGTCCCTTTAGAAACGGTGTTGCAATCTCTGTGTCCTGCAGGCTGCACGGCAGAAGATTCAGACTCTGGAGACGAGCGTGGAGAACTTCCTCTCTCGGGAGAGCAAAATGAAGCACATGATTCGCTCCCTGGAGCAAGAGAGGACAGCGTACCAGAGGACCATTGAACGCATGCGCTCCAGTCTTCCCCCAGACGCTCTGACAGATGTGGAGATGACCCAGATCAAAACAGGACCCAATGGGAAAGCCAAAACTCCAGCCAAGAAGCCCTGATGCCAATGGGTTGGGTTGGGTTGGGGGTGGGGGGATATAGCCATGCTGGGCAGATGCAGCAGCTTAGATCAACAAACAGACAATCGAAGACTGCTGAGAGGAGGGCTGATGAGCCCTGCTTTACCTCTGTGGTGAAGTGTGGCAACCGTTTTTATAGAGGCGTGACGTCTTCAGACGGACAGACTGTTTGGGAAACATGTTGGTTGTGTTTGCGAGGAGATAAAGGAGCAGTGGGAGGATGATTTCAGTGAATTTCTCAGTGTTTCCGTTCTGCTGTTCTTCTCGTATGATTCACAACCAGTTTGAAGGTAAAATCAAAGACCAGATCATCCTTCGACGGTTGGATCATTCGTGAGTGTGTGTGTGGGGGGTTTCTATGTTAGCACTGCCTCAATGTATTTACTACCTGCCAGAGTAACTCCACAGAAGCTGCCTGTTGGCACCTCAGACCTTACAGCCATTAACCAGTGGGCGATCCAGGAGTATTTTGTAGTTCTTAACTTTTGTCTTTTATGGAAGCTTTGCCTCTTTGATTTATTTTAAATTCATCACCTCACATTTTTCTGAATGTACACTCTCTGGCATTAATTAACAGCAGATTTAGAGTTTAGCATTACCGGAAAATGTTCAGTTCTGTTCCGTTTTCTCAAGAAGGAAGTGTTTCTTCCAGATCTTAGACAGGATGTGAGGTCACCTGCCTCCTCGGTTTCCTTTAGACTCTGGCCGGAGAGACGTCTCTTCTTTTAGCACCGCCTTCAGACTCCCAGGCAGAACTTGCTCTCCCCAGGAGGCGCAGACTAAACAGACTGAGGTGGAGACGTGATCTGTATGTACACACTGCTGTACTTAAGAGCAACAACAAAAAAGATGCTTCCGATGCTTTGATACTATAGTTTCTGCAGCATCTCCAATTCATAGCTGTTGAACTGATTCACATTTTGTCTCACTGGACCTTATCAATACAAAGAGGCACTCAATTCTGAAATAGAAGATAAATTAAGCACCCATCTGTTGTCTATAGCCACTTTGTGTTGCACAGAGGGGAGGCGTCTCAATCTCAAATGGTTACTGGGGAGAGGTGGGATACACCTTAATAATTTTGCCTGTCACAGAGGACTGAAACACTTTCATACCTCAGGGTGATTTAAAAAGCGTATTTTGGGCTGTGGTACCCAGGTAAAAATGAGGGTAACATACGAAACTCCATGCAGAAAGAGCAAGAGTCCCGACTTCAGAGGAACCTATTGCTTACTGGGTATATTGCTAGCCACTGTTGCCTTTGGACGCCTTTTACTCTGATACCACCAAATAAACTGCTGTGCAACCACTTGCCTCTTGAAGTCAGTTAGCGGTCTTTATCTTCAGCTGCCAATTGAAGTCTTTGAGAGTCAGTGAGATTATAATAAAGTATCATGAGTGTTCATTAAAAAGAAAAGTAATGATTTAGTCAAACAGCAAAGATGCCTTTGGATAGGCAGGAGGAGCTGCAGAGATCTACTGCTCAGGTGGACTGGATATTGGAAGTCAACTACTTGTTCTCCATTGATTGTGTCTAACCTATAGAGGAGTGGGAAGAGCAAGGACCTTTTTGAAAGAATCTAATTAGAAGTTCTGTTTGCAGTTTGCCAAAAGCCATATCGGAGATTTTTTTTTATGTCACAAGCAGGTTAGAGTGGATGTGATGTGAAATTGGATTTTAGATCTGTTAGAACCTGCAAAACGAAGTGGAGGTTCACCTTCCACCAGGACAACCACTTTAAGCCAACAGGTCAAAGTCTAGACCCCATTTTAATAGAGAATCTGTGGAAACCATTGAAAATTGATGTTCAAAGATGCTCTCCACCCTTCCTGACCTAGATTAGGCTTTTGCAAAGCCGGCAGAGACACAGTCCAAGATACCTAAAGTTAATTGCATAGAAAGGTTATTATATGATTGACATATTTTTGTAAGATTAAAAAAGAATCAGGCTTACTTTTCCACATCACATTCAAGCATCACATTGTGTGGGTCTAATGCAAAAAAAATCTGTCTAAGACAATTGAGTTTTGTGGTTGAGTGAGAAAATATGAACAACTTTAATGGGTGTGAATCCATCTAAAAGGCATTTTACTGAGCTTGAGGTTTTAATAAGACACTGGGCTGTTTGTCACAGAGTTTGGGTGAGCAGAGAAAGGAGCTAAAATGAGCACGAGGACACTTGAGTTGCCCTCTCAGCGATAATGAAGCTTGGTTTTATATACAGTATCTGCACACACACACTGCAGTGAAGTGGTTGACTGTGTGGACAGATGGTTTATATGATTTAAAAGCTCTGTCCCTAGCTCCCTCTTTGATTTTGTTTATCCCACCTCCATGTCTGAACCACCATCATCACTTTTTATTCAAGTGAAAACTTGTCCCGATTTTTTTTCTTCTTTAAAGAAGAGAAAAAAAACCTTTAATATTAGATAATAGTGACTTCTATTAAGAAACAAAGTGTTTATCATTCTTCCTGCACTTAGAGACAAGTGACAGTCAGGTTGAGAATAAAGTTTTTGTTCGGATGCATCGCTCCCAGAGGATGTATGGTTTGGCAGCCAGTGCAGTGTTTGTTTAACGCACTCCTGCTATGCTTCTGTCCTTGAACGTAACAGCAGCTATTTCACACAAGACGTCATTAACTGTTATGTAAATAAGTTCCCAGCTAAAAGAAATGTCTTTTTTTCATTGATTGAACTGTAATTGAGAAATGAACTGTATGGATCTGTCCTGCAAAACATATCAAGCAGCTTTGTTTTTTATCATTTTTAAAACAGCAACCTGTAAAGGATGCATGCAATGGAGAAGAACTAAGCTTCTGCCTGTTGTTTGTATTACTGCAGTATTTGTGCATCTTCATAATAACACATCATGGAACCAAAGATGTGCTTTATTGCCTGGAAATATATGAATGATCCAAAATGCAGTGTTGGATTATTTGGTTTATGGGCTCTTTCTCCACCTCTGTCTCACATTAAATTTAGATGTTGCAACTTGGGAGAGAAGAATACCAGATATTGGTTACAAACTTGACTACTTGATTTAAAAAAAAATAATCAGGTCTTTTTTTTATAATTGAACAGCTTTTTCTTATTCGACTCAAAGCCCTTTAGCCCTTCTAGAGCATTTCTAACACAGAACAGTAGGTGGTTAAAATGATGGAGAAATGGCTTGAAGAGTGCTGGAATGGATGGAAGATTAAATGGATCAATGGGTCCTAGTTCTCCAGAATTTTTCTGAACTTGGAAAATAAATTTCATAGTTTTTTATTCTGCGATGGAACCCTTTACATGATCTGTAGAGGTGAACCTTAGGATTATGGCAAATATGTTTTGTAAAATGACACTTTCAGGGTGATTGAAGGTTCCCTATCTTGACCCGATAAGTGTTTGTATCAGTTTGTTTGAACTGTCAACACGAGGAAGGACCTGTCCTGAATTTATCAATAAACCATACCTTGCCTTGTTTCCGTTTGCTTATCTTCCGATGTATTTCCTTATCAGTATGAGCTTGAATAAAGATGGTCCATTTCCTTTGCACTCCAAGGTTACCGAAGAGCTCATTGCTTAAAAGATCAAGGTAAGCATTGACATCCACAAAGAGAATGCATAAAAGCTTTTTATTATTACAAGTTTTTCTTTCATCAGGAACTTGTGCAAATGGAAATACATTTCCAAATATCAAAGAATATTTAGTGAAATCCCTCAGTAGTTGTTAAAGATTCAGCCTTGAGGGATTTAATCAAATTGTTGATTTCTGTTCCCAGTCACGTGTGACTCGCTTCTCTGCAGCGGGAGGGGAAAAACATTAACACCAAAGCTGGATAAAAAGATATAAGCAGGGATTTGATTGTTATTAGAAATGTGAAATATTTGAATAAAAGTTGATTTTATAAATATCAACAAATCATTTCCAGTTTCTCCTTTTCTACAGAAACAACTCCAGCCTTATTTTGTATTAAAACCATTTTCCTATGTATTGAGTAGAGTTTGTGTCCCAAAGTGCCCTCAAATAGGGCTCTGAAAAAAATGTTTGCCCCCTGCTTTTTGTCACATTTTGGACAAACCAAAAGTGGGGAAAAATGTCTGAATTCAGATTGCTGTTTTCAAAAGATGCCGTCCTACGTCATGGTGAAAAATGCTTTCTGAACCAACAGGACCAGATGTAAAAAAGTAATTATTCCACAAATTTTAAACTCAAGACCTGCGGGCCAAACCCGGTGCTTCACAGAAGTTTGTCCTAATGTCATAATTTATAGCTATTGGTTATTTCAAAAGTGCTAAAACTGAGAAAATAAATTACAATGAAGACACCCAAGCATTTAGCTCTTATTAAATTGTTAGTAAATAAAACAATGAAATCAAAAGTTTCATTTGAACAGCTATAACATGCAGTTTTTCTAGGCGTCTTACTGCTAAGGTTGAGTGATTAAACACCCCTGCGTCTTGACAAATACTTCCACTCCAGTGAACTGATGAGTCTTCTTTATCACTGAGTAAGTATTTCTTGCCTGTCTGCAGTTTTGTTATAATTTAGCCATACTGAGCACAAATGTCAAGTTTTCAAAGATAGCCACTCTGTAGGCAAATTCATTTTTGGAAGTTGTTCATTGGAAGTGTTTTGTCCCCCTCCATGCATGTTGGAAGTAGGTGAAGTTATGCCAGAAACATCTGGATATCTGTTGAATCTCCAATCTGAGTCTGGATTTCAGTTGGTGATTCCAAAACCATAATTAAGTCTTTTGTTTTAGCCATTCAGAATTAAGTCTGCTTGTATGCTTCAGCTTATTTTATTTAATCTACTCCTAATTGAGCCTCTCCTTATTGATTTGAGTGGTTAAATGAAGGAGACTAATTTCACTAGTTTTATTGCAGAACACTGGATATATTATAATTCCTCCAAAGAAATGGTTCTGTAAAATGGATGTATTGTTTGGTCCCTCCTGTCTCATGCTGTTTTTGTTTTACTGTTTTCTAAAATGCTGATGGCTGAAAATTATAAAGGCACAAATAACTCCCCGACTACATGTAGAATGTGGTTGGTTGAAATTGTTTAAATACTAGGTACATGTCAATATAATACAATCCTTGAAATTCTGTTTATTTATTGTAGTGGTATTTAAAAATAAATAAAACCAGATGAAATAAAACCAGATGAGTTGATTTCTTCTAAGGAAATGTGAAGCTGCTGAAAAGTATTTCCACTGTACAGTATCTGTGTGGAATAGCCATTTCAATCTGAAAAACTCACAGGAAAAGACAATTAGGAGAAATTTATGGATACAATTACTTTGTCTATAGATATGCATGAACAGGAGCAAAGGGTTGTTTCCCCCTAGGCCTGAAACTGGTGGTGGAGTGGAGATAGATGAAGTTGGTCAGTCTGTAGATTGCTGGTTAGTGAGACGTATGCTGAGCTCTATGAGGAGATCCAGTGGATTGTGTAAGCTGATACTAGAGCTTCACTCAGGGACCTGGAAGATGGAAGTCCAGTTGGATAACACAGGTTGAGAGAACCTGTCCATGATGAGCAAGCATGAAGCGACAGTGGAGAGGAAAAACTCCCCGTTGGGAACAAACCTCTGGCAGAACCAGGCTCAACATGGCGGTCTTCTGCCGGACCGGTTGAGATGAGACATGGAATGCAGTAAGAGTCCAGGAGGAATGACACTCTGATGAAGCTTTAGCTACGATGTGGAGGAGGGGCTGGAGGTGGGTTGAAACGGTGTCATGTGAAGAAAGTCGCAGACAGGTGTGTATCGGGGGCCTTTTAAGATGAACTTTGGATGCTGATTAGCTTTCATGGAGGTGTGGTTCAAAGCTGATTGGCTGTGTCGCAGGTGGATGACGGAAAACAACGAGTTTCTTCAGCTGAATTTCCGCCTAGGCTCCATTTGGAAATAAGCATGTATTAATTACTTATTAATTGTATGAGACAACTGCTGAGTTCGAATTTAACGGCTGCATCCTCCTAAGACCAGATTCGTCGGCCGATTATGTCGTAGCCTATCCTAAAACATGTTTGCCTGTCTTCTGAATGCGCCGTTTTTACGATCTTAACAAATCTGACTTTTTTGTTTTCATTAAGAAATTCTGAGCAAAAGTTCGCTGAGTTTTTTAGACAGTGCTGAAATCTTTTGGACTTTGTTACTCACAAACCTTCAGAATTCATTTTAAAATAAGCCTGCATTTCTCTGCATGTTGTGTCTTTAGCAAACCTGGAGAAACAGACTACTGGCCGAGAGGAGGAAAAAGTGTCATGTCCTAAAAACCTTCATACTGGCAGAAGATTGTGGGATTATGGGAAGTGTCGGAAAGGTTTTGAGTCGTTCTAGCACCCTGGGCTAATTCCAGCAAAAAAGGCAGCAATGTAGAGCCCTTGCCATTTGTTTAATGTGTGGTTTATAAATAATAAAAAAACGGAGCAAGCCCACCATGTGTTTGATTGGCCAAGGAGGGCCTTTGAATGATAGCAGCTATGAGCTCAGTCATTGTTTTCCTAGGAGGGCCTTACCCAGAAAGGACTGTTGGAGTGTTGCTCTGATCAGCCTCTGCCAAGCCTGGAGCTTGTCACACATAAGACACACAAATGACCGCCAACCAGAAGCCTATCGCACGCTAAACAAAAGGGACTGCATTCCTTGTGTATTCCCACACGAGGACACATCCTGCAGCAGGGCAGCAGTGGGATGCAGGGTCTCCATGGGGGAATTGGCCCAGAACAACACTTCCTCTGCTGAAGGCTTATCAGCTCTGCTTATGTTTTTTTTTTTACCGTATTTTCACGACTATAAGGTGCACTTAAACGTCTTTTTTTTTCCTCAAAATGTGCGGTGCGCCCTATGGTGCGGTGCGCCTTATGTGTGTTGTAACTGCGACTTTTGAGACCACCTCATTGAGGAGATGATGAAAGAGTGGCTGAATGTAAGGAGACC